CCTCTGTGGGTGATGACATTCCATAGTTTGTTCAACCTCATATGTTCAAGTCTTTATCCTGGGCTGTAGCAACAGCAATAAAACCTATGCAAATGCTTCCTGTCCTGCCTGGTACTGCCCAGGGGTGTTGTACTGGGGTGGATTTCCTGTGTAGGTGCCTCCACTGCCATGACACACCTGACACACCTGATCTTTCTTGGCTCAAGGATGCGATTTTATGATTGCAAAATATTTTAGGGGTCTGACTCTGGTCTTTTTGAGTGAGGGCTGAGGGCCAGTTTGGGGCTGTTCTTCTTGCTTTGAAACAAAATAATTGATTGTTTACCCTCAAAAGCTTCAAAGAAAAATTAAGATTTAAATCCCACATCACTCACCGACGAGGAGGAAACAGCACCCTGGGCTCCTCCATCCACCTGATGGAGAGGTTTTACTTTTCCATCAGTAATGCTGACACTTCATAAGTCTTCCCTGTTCTAATGAGTCACCTTCAAACCTGTACTCGAGCATTCTGGGGGGTCTTGGGTCCTGGTGGGTGCCAGTTGTCCCTGAGTCAGCAGTGCCCTGGCAGCCAGGAGGGACATCCCTGTGCTGGGGGCAGCAGGGAGGGGATTGTCCCGCTCTGCTCTGCCCTGGGGTGGCCTCACCTCAACATTGGGGCAGTTTGGGGGGACACAATGGAAGGGAGAGATTGAGCCATTGGAGAGTGTCCAAAGGAGGGAAATGGAGATGGGGAAGGGTCTGGATTTGAAGCCCTGGGAGGACACTGAGGGCACTTGGTGTGTTCAGCTGGAGCAGAGGAGACTGAGGGGAGACCTCTCTGCAGTTCCAACTGCCTGGGCAGGGGCAGAGGAGGGGCAGGACTGAGCTCTGCTCTGGGGGGAGCAGGGACAGCCCCCAGGGAATGGCTGGAGCTGTGCCAGGGCAGGCTCAGGTTGGATCTCAGCCAAAGGTTCTTCCCCCAGAGGGTGGTTGGCACTGAACAGGCTCCCCAGGCCAGTGGGCACAGCCCCAAGGCTGCCAGAGCTGCAGGAGGGTTTGGATGACTCTCTGGGGTAAATGGGGAGACTCTTGGGGCTGGTCCTGAGCAGGGCTGAGGATTGGATTGGATGATTCTTGTGGGTCCCTTCCACTGAGCATATTCTGTTCTGCCCATGTGTTTCCCCTGCTGCAAGTCAAGCTCAGCCTCTTTACATCAAAGAAAAAAATAGGCAGCCACATCTGGTGTGAGTGGTTGGAGTCTTTCCAGCTTTCCTGACTGAAGATCCAGCTCCATGTTGGAGGCAGTGCTGGGAGATCTCACTGTTCCCTTGTCTTTGCTCTAGCAGTGAAGGTCACCAGAGCAGCAGAAGGAAGAGCTTTGTCCTGACTCTGCCAGGAAAAGCTGTTTCTCCCCACACAGAGAGGTTTGGGCTTTGTCAGGTACCTGCTGTCCAAGCCTTTTCTC